GTATTTTCACCGCGTCATCTCCAACACTATTTTTGGGAGGATCAACAACAACAAAGTAAATTCTAAAGTACTTTTCCTCCTGCATTGTACCTTCACTCCTAACCAGAAGATCAATGTTACTACATTCCTCCTATCGCATATCCAGTCTTTGTGTGCAAGAGGGTCTACACCTTTCTGCATTGGAGGGTTAGTTACGTCCATAGCACTTGGCCTGCGCCTCGAAGACAAGCTAGAAAATATGCCTCCTCTGCGACCCACATTCATTGACGTCGATAACTGTCGGGTTGGACACTTGATTAAGGTCATAGGAGATGGCAGGTATAATCTTATGGTGCATAGCAGAGTAGTTCCTAGTGTCATTTTGCCAAACATTGCACTTACAAATGTAACAAACATGAAAAAGTGGCTTTATGATCTTACTGCTCCTGCACCTGGAGATAACGTGCAAAACAACCAAGGCAATGCCCAGGCTGATGAGATGGAGCAAGAAATGGATCAAGGGAATGCTGAACAACAAGCTCCTTCTGAAAATGTGGCGAGCATGTCCACGAGAACCAGAAGAAGACACGAAAGAGTATTAGCCTCGAATGATGACATTATGGCTGCCATCATGCAACAGGATGAGAGGGTGCAAGCTATGCAAAACAATCAAAATGTAATGATGAAACTCATGGTAGCTATGCAAACTCAGCAGCAAGAATATGACGAAAGGAATGCGCACTAGGCTGCAAGAATTATCGAGGAAATGGTAGCTTTAAATGTACACATGATAATGAGCAAGAGTAGATCGAATTTCCCTCTCTTCCTATTTCCTCTTTGTTTATAAGAATTGGGACACACTTCTTGGTTCAAGCTTAGGGGAGTTAGTTAGTTAGGAAACACTTTACTGCTTTCTAAGTAGATTTTCATCCATGCTTGTATTCCCTGTAATTCAAACATCTATGTACTTTTGAGTTCTTATATGCAAAACTTTTCCGCTATTTTCTAAATTCCCCACTTTCTTGAGCCATAACAATTTGTTCGTTACTTGCATAACTTGATGCATTCGAAGAGTATACAAGTTTCTCACTTTTAAGATATATGAGAAACCTTGAGTAAAACAGAAGCACGATGGATACCGTTGTAACACTCTAAATCCCCAAAGTACACTATATCGATTTCAGTACCCTTTATACTGAAACCTTAAACTTTAGTTTTAAAGTAACCCCGAGTAGTTTATTTAGCAGTCATCATCGTCTTAAACGCAAACTACGTAGGGAGTCGATGAATATAGGTGAATGATCTCAAGTATTTAAAAAGTCACATGCTCTACTATTAGAAAATAGGGAATGCACCAATTAAGTTAGGTGACCCTCACCCGATCACTTAATCCAACGGATGCAGAACCTACACAATAAAACATAGAAACCCATTGTTGGTTGGTTCAGAGGTGTTTGGTACTAAACTTGGTTGGGAGGACTACGGTCCGATCCCCCGCAACTTGCAATTAGGTAAATTAAAGGAGGTTACCACATATATGTTCCAGAACCTCATGCTTAAAAGGATTATATTCACTAACCGGCTACTCTACTATATGCGTGTAAAGATAAAGAGCTTAATGTGATTGCGCTAGAATAAAAACGGGTGAAATTTAGCAAGAAGAATTAGGTTGAGCTATAATGGCATGACTGGAATTGGTCTGCACAGTGGGGGCATTTAGTGTTATTACTGTATCTTTTGTGTTATGTTGAGCTTCTGTTCCCGTGAAAACATTGGCACAATCTCTTATGATTCGAATTGCATCATGCATTTTCATTTAACTTGTGCTATATTAATTTTCATACTAACTATATTGATTGAGGACAGGCAAAGGTTTAAGCTTAGGAGAGTTTGATAACACGAAAAGTTATAGCATATTCCGCCCAATTTACATAGCTAAAGCTTTAGATTCTTCGTTTATTATGTCACATTATGTCTCTATTTGTAGTATTTGCGACATATTTCAGGTATTTAGTTTTTGCAAAGCATACATGAGAAAAAGAAGAAAAATATTGGAGAAATGAAGAAGAAATGGCACTTTAGCAGCAAAAATGCAAACAATTTTGTATCAGAAGCCATGTCGTCCGTCACAGGCGCATGCCGCTCATCACAAAGTCCAAAAGTGTGCCCCTCGACATACTTCTTGTCCCGAGTGGCATAGAATTGAAACATGCCCCACGCTATAGCGCACGACACTCGTTACAAGTGACATATCTTTAGTTACGAAAATGTCTCCATGAAACACAAGACTTCCTGATTCTTCTCCATGCATAAAGAACGAAGATCAAGAAAGTGTCCCTATTTTTGCTCAAGCATATTGAATCTGTAAAACCAGGACAGTTACCAAAACTGCATACGTTTGCACACCTGCTTCAAGTTTATTTTTTCTGCATACTGAACATTGCATTTTTTCCAGTTTTCCAGTTTTTGATTTTTTTTCCAGTTTTGTTTAGAATTCCGTAAGCAAAGAAAACCATCACCATTAAAGCAATATTTCTTCACATCGGAGGAATATTGCACCTTTACTTTTGTTCCAGCTTCCAGAATTTCGTTTAGACTTATTTTTATTTCTTCAAGATATTTTGTTCCGAAGCTAATCCTGCCGGCTTGTGGAGGATAACATACTACACTATTATTCTTCAGTGTTTTATTCCAGATTTCAATTTTAAATATAGTTTATTTATTTTTACCATGATTATGTTACTGAATTTAGGTTTTTATTTTATATTGTTACACATTATGTTTGGCTAACTTTCCTGATACCGGTATGTGAGGTCATAAAAGGAAGGGATTCAGTAATTAATTGGCATAAATATTTTACAAAATGAGTTTTCTGGTTTTGATTTCTAATTATGATGTTAAATTGTTTTGTTACGAGAGTAAAAGACAGACTAAGGATAACATCAAGAAAGCGAGAGTTTTAGTTTTTAACCAGATAGTGGTAATCAAACATTAATTTTAAATACAGCGAGAGCGTTTTAAAATTAATTGGACTCTATTTGTTTTCAAAAAATACTTTTAAATTTTAAATGACATAGCGAGAGCGCTCATTTGAGTTTAATAATATGGCATGAATCGATAGAACGAAAGCGTGAGACAAGGATTTTTAAATTAATAGTTTCCACTGGAAACTGTGTTTTAATACTCAAAATTATGCCAATGACTTGTTGAATCTCTGAAGTCGACAAATTACATACCGGTGTCCCATTATTAATTATTAGATTTTAGTTAATTTATGTTTAAACCCCAACATCCTAATTTTATAATTAGCCTTAACTTTACACAATGACCCTAGATAACAGTAGTTTGACCACCAGTCTTTGTGAATTCGATATCTTTTAAAACTACGCGATTAGACTGTGCACTTGCAATCACTACACCCGACAGACTCTCAAAATCGCGATCAAGTTTTTGGCGCCGTTACCGGAGACTGATTTAGTCAATATTGTGAATCCCTTGTTATACAGTATAGACTAAGACAACCAATTTTATTTTATTTTATTTTAACCGTTGATTATATATCAAACACTCGCTCTCAAGACAAAGAATTAGAGCAATCAATTGACGAGGTCGATCGTTTTGTTAATATAAAACGCCGAATTAGAAAATAACAAATCAAGTACAACCATACCAAATTCAATCTTCCTAACTATTTTCTTTGTGAACCAAAAAAATTCCGCCAATAAGACACATGGAAGAGAAGGAAAAAAGAAAAAACCGTAAAGAGAAAAACGTGTCTTCACGGTTATAGAGTCACATGATTTTTGGAAATTTTAAATGTGATAATCCTTGTGTTATAACCGAAGAAACAAGAAACTTCCAACATAATAATAACTTTTTCCCTCTAATTTTGCATGTAAAGATATAACCTTTGCATATAAGTTATCAATACACATTGTCCTAGCATGACTCATGTCATACTTATGACACATTTCTTGAACCTTAAACATATATATAACCGCCTTAATATATTTTTTTGTCCTAACTACTTGTTTGTTAATAACACAAAATTCACTCAAAGAATAGATAATTAAATAAACTTTACTTAATAATTCTTGAAAACCAAAATTTGAATTTCTTGTTCTACACTTCTTACTTCAAATAAATAATTCCATTACTACACCTTAAACAAATTCATTGCGTCTTGGATTCAATCATATTCACTACTGGTTGGTGAAGCTTTTTATCTGATCAACAGTCTCTGCTTATGTGAATTGGATCTTTACCAAAAAAAGGTAATCTTTATTTTTTGAACAAAAGCATTGATAATGAATTTAATTAAAAAATATTGTTCCACTTGATTAGAGTTTTCTTTTGAGTATACTGTTTTCATGGTCTTTGAATTTTAATTAAGTGGATGTTATTGGTCTTAAACATCTTTAAACTTTGACTCATTTTCTTTCTTAACTTTAAGATGCTTTTGATTCTAAAAATTGACATCACTTCCTTTGGTTTCCATGTTTTTCTCCAATCATAGATGCTTTATTCTGTTTGGTTTTGTTAGTTTTTTCATGTTATATTTTATCTTCCCTCAAATCTTGATTAAAGTATGCTAGAGTGCATAATTTGCATATCTTAAATATAAAAAAAAAAATAGTAATCATGTTTTAAGAAAATTTTTTGCACAAAAAATATTCAAATAAATTTTTAAAAATATATATATATATATATGATTTGAGTGGAATCTCTTTAATCATCCATCTCTTTATGAAACAATCTTTAACAAGTGAGGAAAAATTTCTACTATATACTTTAGATTCCAATCAAATTATTTCTTTATACAACTATTGATGAATATTAATATTTTTTTTGTTTGTTTTTATTTAGTGGTATTGTCCCACTTTTGCATCCAACATGAGAAGATTTTCATCCATAAATAGCCTTTGTTAACGTGTGTCTTCCACACTTACTCCACACACCTTCTTCACCTTCATAATCATAATTATCATTTTCCTCAATTAGCATAATCTCCCTCATTTCTCATGGCATCACTCACCAACAACCAAGCCAAGTTTGATCTTGAACAACAACCATCAACAATAACAACACTAGAAGTTGAAACAAAAGACTTTGACTACTCGAAAAGATCACAATGGCTACGCGCGGCAGTTTTAGGCGCGAACGATGGATTAGTCTCTACAGCTGCGCTGATGATGGGAGTCGGGGCAGTCAAACAAGACATCAAAGCTATGATCTTAACCGGGTTTGCCGGGCTGGTAGCCGGTGCGTGTAGCATGGCTATAGGTGAGTTTGTTTCGGTTTATTCGCAATTGGATATTGAAGTGGCTCAAATGAAAAGAGAGAAAGAAAGAGGAAGAGAAGTTGGTGATGGTGAAGAGAAGGAAAGTTTGCCTAATCCTTTACAAGCTGCAGCTGCTTCAGCTTTGGCTTTTTCTATTGGTGCAATGGTGCCATTGCTTGCAGCTTTTTTTATAAGTGATTATAAGGTGAGACTTGGTCTTGTTGTGGCTGCAGTTAGTTTTGCTTTGGTTGTTTTTGGTTGGTTTGGGGCTGTGTTGGGTAAGGCTCCAATATTTAGGTCTATTTTGAGGGTTTTGATTGGTGGTTGGGTGGCTATGTCTATTACTTTTGGGCTTACTAAGTTAATTGGGACAAGTGGTCTTTAGTTTTTTTCTCATAATTATTTTTATTTCAGATAAAAAATTGTCATATTCGAAAGTAATCTTTCGAAACAGATAAAAAAAACATATTTTATCTGGATTTCAAACAGATAAAAAAAATACAAAATTTATCTGAATTTATATATGTTCTAGATGGAAAATGGAGTTTTGTTATTTGAATTTTTTTCGCCTTCAAAGTATACATGGAGGTAGGAAAAACAAGTTTGTTGTTTTTGTTTGTAAAGCATGTTTTGCAAGTATATGTAATATGTTATTTATGGTTTATTAGTTGGAGAAATTAGTTTTGGTAATTAGTATTAAAAGAGGGTAAATATGTTTTATATCCTCTTTGTAATTATTATAGATAAATGTTCTTATTCATGTGTTATATTTTATGAATTTTGAAGTTTATCATTGCTAAGCCAAAAATGAGTTTTAACAGTGTACATTAGACAGCGCTTTTGTACAAAAGCGCTGCTATAAGTGAATTAAAAAAAAATGGAAATCGTATAAAATAATTAGTAAAAGTGCTGCTAAACATATGATCTTAGACAACGCTTTTAAAAAGAGTTGCTAATAGATTGCTTTAGAAAACGCTTTATCATAAGCGCCGGTAAAGGGCCACTTTAGACAACGCTTTAAGAAAGCGCTGTCTAAAGTCATAAAAAATTAAAAAATAATAATAGAAAAGCGCTGCTAAAGGACACTATTAGCCAGCGCTTTTCAAAAGCACTGTCTAAGGTCCATATTAGCCAGCGCTTTTAGAAAGCTGTCTAAACCCTTATAAGTGAAAATTAAAAAAAAAAATAGAATCTTTGTATTCACAGTATCACGAAAACAGAAGCTTAAGCTAGAAACCCTTTCCCTCGCGAAATCCATTTCCTTCTCCGTCTCAAATTGTTCACCGTCGTACCGTCCTCCACCGTCTCGCTCCGTTTTCCTCCACCCACACTGGCCGGTTCTTAAGGTATGTTCTTTATTGAAAATGTGTTTAACTCCATTGATGTCCAAACTGAGTTATCATCCTTGAAAATGTGTTAATATCCATTGATGTCCAAATGTGTTTATCTCCTATTGATGTCTAAACTGGGTTATATGTATGCATTTTAATTTTTGGATTCTTGGTAGGGCTTGATATATAACAGCAACATTTTTAGCATTTAGCATTATTGCATTTTCTTTTGGTTCTATGTTTTGGAATATAAAAGATAATATATATGATGGGTTTTTTTGTTATTTTAATTGGTTTCTGAATTGTTTATCATGTCTATATGAAGGGTCACTTTAGAAAGCGTTTTAAGAAAGCGCTGTCTAAAGTCATAAAAAATTAAAAAAAATAATAGAAAAGCGCTGCTAAAGGACACTATTAGCCAGCGCTTTTCAAAAGCGTTGTCTAAGGTCCATATTAGCCAGCGCTTTTAGAAAGCGCTGTCTAAACTCCTATAAGTGAAAATTAAAAAAATAGAATCTTTGTATTCACAGTATCACGAAAACAGAAGCTTAAGCTAGAAACCCTTTCCCTCGCGAAATCCATTTCCTTCTCCGTCTCAAATTGTTCACCGTCGTACCGTCCTCCACCGTCTCGCTCCGTTTTCCTCCACCCACACTGGCCGGTTCTTAAGGTATGTTCTTTATTGAAAATGTGTTTAACTCCATTGATGTCCAAATTGAGTTATCATCCTTGAAAATGTGTTAATATCCATTGATGTCCAAATGTGTTTATCTCCTATTGATGTCTAAACTGGGTTATATGTATGCATTTTAATTTTTGGATTCTTGGTAGGGCTTGATATATAACAGCAACATTTTTAGCATTTAGCATTATTGCATTTTCTTTTGGTTCTATGTTTTGGAATATAAAAGATGATATATATGATGGGTTTTTTTGTTATTTTAATTGGTTTCTGAATTGTTTATCATGTTTATATTTTCCATAAACTAGTATTTTGTTACTAGTATTTTGAACCTAAATATATATACAACTTGTTTTTGATGATCCTTTTGTATTGGTGTAGTTAGGTGAAGACCATCACCGATTCGAAGAACATCAAAGCCGCATCATCCGTCGTCGACACCAATAGCCCCTTTTCTTTCTTTGGTAAGTCAAGTTCAAATTCTATCTGTATCGATCAATTAAAAAACACAATTATTTTTATATAGATATATTTATTTTTAGTCCATGTTATTAACTCTAGAAATAAATTTCTAGAAATAATTCGTTTAATTCAAACAAAAAGAGAATAATCCGTTTATAGTGTTTTTGTTTACTTGAATAAGTAGAAACAAATGGATAAAAAATGGATGTTTGTCGATCGATTGTCACAAGAGTACGAGAATGGGGTATTGGAATTCGTTAAGTTTGTTGTTGAATACGCCAAAGACCCCAGTCGAATGAAGTGTCCTTGCTTGGGTTGTTGTTATGTGAATCAGGTTAACGCAGATGGATTGAAATTGCATTTACTAATGCATGGAATTGATAGAAGTTATACGTGTTGGATATTTCACAGTGAAAAAATTAACGACAACATTGAACCGGGGGAGAAAAGTAGTACGGCCTATGCTTCAAACGACAAGGACACAGATATATACGATTTTGATCGAGTCGAAGAGATTGCAGATGCACTTGAAAAAGATCTTCAGGATTGTCCCAAAATGTTTGAGAGATTGGTAAGCAATGCAGAGAAACCGTTGTATGAAGGGTGCACTAAATTCACAAGACATTCTGCGGTATTAAAGTCGTACAACTTAAAGGCGGGCAATGGATGGTCAGATAAAAGTTTCACAGAGTTATTAGCCCTTATGATAGATATGCTTCCGGAGGATAATGTTCTTCCTAATCGAACCTATGAGGCCAAAAAAATGTTGTGCTCTATTGGCATGAGCTATGATAAGATACATGCTTGTCCAAACGATTGCGTTTTGTTTCGAAACGAATATGCTTCGTTAAATGAGTGCCCTAAATGCGGTTTGTCTTGATATAAGAAAAATTGTCTCCAACAAAAGTCTTACGGTATTTTCCTATAATTTCGAGATTTAGGCGAATGTTTCGTAGTGAAACCGATGCAAGACACCTTACTTGGCATGCAAATGAAAGAATTATTGATGGAAAGTATCGACATCCGGCAGATTCACCATAGTGGTCGAAAATTGATAATGATTATCCTGATTTTAGAGAAGAAGCAAGAAACCTTTGGTTGGCTTTATCTACTGATGGAATGAACCCACATGGTCTTCAAAGTATCTCACATACCACATGGCCTGTGATTCTTATAATTTATAACCTACCTCCATGGCTATGTAAGAAGCGTAAGTACATGATGTTATCTATGTTAATATCTGGGCCTAAACAACCAGGGAATGACATAGACGTATACTTGACACCTTTGATCAAAGATTTAAAGATTTCGTGGGAGAACGGGGTGGAGGTTTATGATGGATATAAGAAACAAAGTTTCAATTTGAGGGCGACGTTGTTTGGCACAATTAATGATTTTCTAGCATACGGGAATCTATCTGGGTATAACATTAAAGGTTAACGTGTGTGTCCTGTTTGTGAAGATGGAACCAATACGACACGTTTGGAACTTTGTCATAAGAATGTGTTTCTCGGTCATCATAGATTCTTACATTCTAAACATCACTACCGTGCATGGAGAAAAGCATTCAATGGAGACACCGAACAACGTAAAGCTCCACCTGTATTATCAAGTGACCAAATTTTTGAAAAGGTGAAAGATGTGTGTACTCAGTTTTGCAAGCCTTTTGCGCATACGGTTGTCAAAGGTGGGTGGAAGAAGAGATCAATTTTTTTTGAATTGCCATATTGGAAGTCTCTGTATTTGAGACATTTTCTCGATGTTATGCATATTGAAAAAAATGTATTTGAAAGTGTTCTTGGTACGTTACTTAATATTAAAGGAAAGTCTAAGGATGTCCTTAAAGCAAGGGAGGACATGTTAAAGATGGGAATACGAACTGAACTAGGACCCGTGAAGAAAGGAAGCTGAACATATCTACCACCTGCTGCTTTTACTCTATCTAGAAAGGAGAAAAAGATATTGTGTAAGTTTCTAAGTGAAGTTAAAGTTCCAAAAGGATACTCTTCAAATATTAGAAGACTTGTGTCTATGAAAGACCTCGAGTTAAAGAGTTTAAAGGCACATGATTTCCATGTTACAATGGAGCATTTTCTACCAATAGGTATACGTTCTATTTTGCCAGATAAAGTAAGGAGTGCGATAACTAAGTTGTGTTTTTTCTTTAGGTCAATTTGTAGTAAGGTGATTGATCCTGGGATCTTACCAACATTGCAAAAAGAAATTGTTATTACTTTGTGTGAGCTTGAAATGTATTTTCCTCCCTCATTTTTTGACATAATGGTACATCTAGTTGTTCATCTTGTGAAAGAGACACAGTTGTGTGGCCTAGCTTATATGAGATGGATGTACCCTGATGAGCGTTATATGAAAGTATTAAAAGGGTACGTGAAAAACCGAAGTCGCCCAGAGGGTTGTATTATTGAGCGATACATTGTTGAAGAAGCGGTTGAATTTTGTACTGAATATTTGTCCAAAGTTCAATCCATTGGATTCCCCAAAAGTCATATTTTTGAAAAAAAAAAAGGCAGGTAAAAGATTAATTGGAAATAAAATTGTGACAGTATCAAAAGATGAACGGGATCAAGTGCATATGTATGTTCTGCATAATGACAGTGAGGTTGAGCCATATGTTGAAATGCACAAGGATATACTCCGAGGGTTAAATCATAATAGAAATGAAAATTGGATAGTACGGGAGCATAATCAAAGTCTTATACCATGGTTTAAGGATCATATTTTTTCAAAGCTTTATTCAGATCCCGCTTCAATAATAGAAAGGTTGAGATGTTTGGCATATGGTCCAAGTTTGTATGTGTTTTCCTATAGCGCATACGCAATTAATGGATACACATTTTATACCAAAGAACAAGATGATAAAAGTACTATGTAAAATAGTGGTGTCACCGT